TATGTTTGTGCTTCATGCTGAAAACACAGTTGCAAATAATCAGTTATAGTGTTTGCAAACTAATGCTGCTGCAGAACAGTCACTCGCCTTGTGGCATCGCAGATTTGGACATCTAAATGTTCCTGGATTGCTGCAGCTGCAGAAGAAAGAATTTGTTGCTGATATGCCAAAGCTTCAAGGAAGCATTGGAATCTGTGAAGTTTGCCAGATTGGGAAGCAACATAGAAAGCCATTCCCAAGGCAAAGTCAGTGGAGAGTAGCTTCCAAACTACAGTTGATCCATGCAGACTTGTGTGGACCACTTACTCCTATGTCCAATGGAGGTAAAAAGTACATTTTCACTCTCATAGATGATTTCAGTTGAAAAATGTGGGTGTACTTCATGGCTGCAAAATCTGAAACACTAGATTGGTTTAAAAGGTTTAAGGCTCAGGTTGAAAAGGAAACTGGTCTAGACATCAAGTGTCTAAGAACAGACAGAGGAGGTGAGTTCATGTTGAATGAACTCAAGGATTTGTGTGATGAAGCTGGACTCAAAAGACAACTAACTGCTGCTTATACACCACAACAAAATGGTGTAGCTGAAAGAAGGAATAGAACAGTGATGAACAAGGTAAGGTGCATGCTTGAGGATATGAAGGTACCTTCTGAATTTTGGCCTGAAGCTGTTGCTTGGGCCACACATGTGCTAAACAGAAGCTCAACAGCAGCAAACAAGGGTAAAACTCCACAAGAGTTGTAGACTGGAAACATACCTTCAATCTCTCACTTCAAAGTATTTGGCAGTGTTGCCTATGCACATGTTCCAGATCAGCACAGAAGAAAGCTTGATGACAAGAGTGAAAAATGTCAGTTTTTGGGAATATCAGCTGAATCAAAGGCTTATAAATTCTATAATCCAGTCAGTCAGAAGGTGATTATTAGCAGAGATGTTGTATTTGATGAATCCAAAGGCTGGAGTTGGGATAAGGCTGCTCAACCAACTCAAACATAATTGAAATGGGAAGGAAGTGATGATGATTGGTGGGATTCAGACTCAGAAGAGGATTCTCAAGAAATAGCTGGGGCAGTTCCTGAACCAGCAGGAGAAATTGAACAACCATCAAGTCCAAAAAATCCTGTGGTCTCAAGTCACAGTAATGATGATGGGGAGGATGATTCTGACAATCAAACAGATGTGCTTGGCCTTCCCACTACCACTGATCTGGGTAAGAGAACAAGAAAAACACCAGCTCATCTATCGAGCTATGACTGCAGTTTTGTTACAGGTGATTGGATGGTTATGGTGGCTGTTACTAATGATCCACAAACCTTTGAAGAAGCATATCTGGATCCTAAGTGGAATGATGCTATGAAGGAAATGAGGTCAATTGAAAGAAATCAGACCTGGACACTCACTGTACTTCCAGCAGGAATGCAGGCAATTGGTCTGAAGTGGGTTTTTAGGACAAAACTAAAGGAAGATGGGTCTATTGACAAATTTAAAGCTAGGCTCGTGGCTAAAGGATATGCTCAGAAGGAAGGGATAGACTACACTGAGGTGTTTGCCCCTGTAGCTCGTTGGGACACAATCAGAACACTCCTAGCTTTGGCAGCATTTCATGGCTTAACTGTTTATCAGTTAGATGTAAAGTCTGCATTTCTTCATGGAGAACTGTCTGAAGAAATATATGTTGAGCAACCTCAAGGGTTTGAGGTTGCTGGGGAGGAACACAAGGTTTATAAACTGAACAAGGCTCTCTATGGGCTTAAGCAAGCTCCCAAAGCTTGGTATAGTAGGATTGAAGCCTACTTTGTGGAGGCTGGTTTTGAGAAGTGTCCCTATGAACATACTTTGTTCATCAAAGCTACTGACTCTGGTATGCTACTAGTGAGTTTATACGTGGATGACTTAATGTATGCTAGCAATAGTCCTACTATGCTTACAGAATTCAAGAAGTCTATGCAGCAGGAATGTGAGATGACAGATTTGGGCAAAATGAAATATTTTCTGGGAGTTGAGGTGACTCAAAGTGAGACTGGTATTTTCATTGGACAGCCAAAGTATGTCAAAGAAATTCTGGAAACTTTCAGCCTGCTGCATTGCAATCATGTTCATAATCCAATTGTTCCTGGAGCTAAGTTGAGCAAGGTAGGGGATGGGGTTCCTATTAGCCCTACTGACTAGAAGAGACTCATTGGAAGTCTACTATATGCCACAACTACAAGACCTGATATCATGTTCTCGGTTTGTCTACTTAGCAGGTATATGGAGTCACCCACAAAGCAGCATATGTTAGCAGCAAAAAGGATTTTAAGGTATCTGAAAGGGACTGTGGATTATGGCCTTTGGTACAAGAAGAAACAAGGGAAGGAGGACAGGTTGCTTGGTTTCACTGATAGTGACTATGCTGGGGATGCAGATCACAGGAAAAGTACAAGTGGGTTCGTGTTCTTTCTTGCTGGATGCTTCCAAGAAACAACCCATTGTGACACTCTCCACAACTGAAGCAGAGTTTGTTGCAGCTGCCTACTGTGCAGCACAATGTATTTGGCTTCGAAGGATACTGGAAAAGATGGGTTGGGGCAGCAGTGTGAATTCAGCAACTACAATCCTTTGTGACAATAGTTCAACTATAAAGCTGGCAAAGAACCCAGTCTTGTATGGAAGGAGCAAACATATTGATGTTCGCTTTCATTTTCTAAGAGAGTTTGTGAAGGATGGAGTAATTGAGTTGGACTACTGTGGAACAAAGGATCAAGTGGCAGATGTGATGACAAAGCCATTAAAGCAGGAAGTTTTTCAGACATTGAGAAGCAGACTTGGAATATGCAGCATCACCGAATTTGAAGATATGAACTGAACCTTGGAAACTGGGTTCAGTTCAGGGGAGGACTTGTTGAATGAAGACCTGAACCCGGTTCACAAGCAACTCAGCTCGCAGGAAACTTGGCGCCAAAGAAGATGTTTGAATTTGTGTTTTAAGCATTTGAGTCAAAACTGTGTCGTATGGTATAATTTCGAGTCAGTACTTGTGTTTATGTTTGAGTCACTTTGGTCCTTGATCGTGGTTAGCAGAAGATCATGGAGGTCAGTTGTGTTATCTGTTTTTCAGGGAGTTAGTGGGCTGAATCAGTTAGTAGAGTCTGAGTTTGTGGGGTTGTAGCATGTACATATAAGTAGCAGCACTCATTTCAATAAGAACTGTCAGATTGCCCATACTTGATCTCGTACATCTTTTACTACCTTCACTCGGATGTAGAGGAGTTTCGGTACTTGCAGACATGGTTTCATGCATATCATTGCATACACTTAGTAGCGTTTGTCTTCTAGACGATAGCAGGTCCCTTTAGTTTTCCTATAGGAGGGCAGTGGAAGAAAGAAAAATAACCAGCCACAAGAATGTCCGATAGAATGAACCAAACAAAATGCAAGCAAAAACCAAATCAAAAGAGTCTACGGAAAAGAGAGTAGTTGAAAAGAAAATAAGACAACAACTAATGATCTATTACACTTCCATAAATATGTCTATTAAGCTTGGCAGATTTACTTATCATTGGACAATCTAATTAAATTGAAGTTTGTGTGAACTCCTTCTAAAAACTGGTGAAAAGTGAAACATTGCAGGGACTAGGCCAACCAATCTCAAAATTTAATCCCTGAAGAACTTGCATATTGCTCTGTTGATTCTGTTTCTCTTAATGGCTCTATAATGTTAATATGATATAATCCCAAATTTCCAATTATACATGTTTAATTTACTTGATGAAGAAGCTATCGACGTTGGGAAGAAGAAGGGCAGAATTTGGCTAAGTCAAAATTCGTGTTCAGGGTACCTACTTTGGAAGCATGCATCTCACAAATGGCTCAATGAAAATTGGATATCAAGGACTTGTTTTGAAGACTGAGTTTTCATCTTTCCAATGGTATGCTTTTGGGATCCAGATGAATCCATTAAGACCATTTTCCAGACGTCCAAAGATGCTATCTAGAAAGCTGAAAACTGCCTGAAAATGGCAAAGGCAGAAAACAGTTTTGTGAAGCCTATTTTGGAGCTTAATTCGAGGAGTATGGATCTGATTCAAGTCCAAAGGCTTACACAAAATGAAACTACGTATGTTTTTGTACAAATGAAAGGAATTGGATGAAGGATTGGAGTTCTCGAAGGCCTCGAACGAAAGGCGCGAAGTTAGTACGAAGTCACAAAATTTTGCCTTTGTAAAACAGAATTGTTTTCCTCGTTGCTAAATTCGGGCTACCAACCCATAAGCATCCATCCCTTATTTATTTCCCTCGTTGGAAGAAGAAGGTTCTGCTTTCGTGACAAAATAGGTGCTCTTGCAATTCAAAATTGGGGGCTAGAGGAGATCACGCGAAGAGGTGGCGCGCACGCGAAGAGGTGGCGCGCACGCCAACTCGTGCCCCCATGCTTGTGGACGTTGCGGGATCCCTAGAAAATGGCGCTTCGGCTCAAGGGAAATTTTGGAATTCCATTTGTCCCCCTAAAAGGGCTAGAGTTAAAAGAGTATGGTTTAGAAAGCACGGGCCTATTTGGAAGGAGCCGAATTCAATGGTTAGTGATAGGGCCAGTAGAAGTGAGTCAGTGGTGCCTTTCAGGCCCATCAGCTCTTGTGATCCAATCCGCACCTTTGAAGTTGAAGTCCCAGTCTGGCTTCAAGTTTATTAATGCGTCTCTAAACCCACTCCATGGTGCTGGCCCAAGCCCAAACCCTTACTCAAATCTGACCAGACTTTGGTTTAACGGGTCCTGGGTTGACTATCGCTTCGATTGCTTGGTTTTTGATAGCTGGTTTTTTGTCATTCTACCACTTCCCTAGATTCTGAGTCTCCCCCTAGTTGCACTGTTCAAGAATTACTGGATTTCTTTGATTTCGCGGTTCCCTCCACCCCAGAACCTAGTGGTGCCAAATCGATTCAAAGGGATTCTCAACTCCCCCTTGCTCTCTCATTTTCTCCCTCTCGGGTTGAGAATTCAGGTTCCCCTTCTTCAACTTCACCAATGATAACCTCTTGGGTTGGGAGTGAACTCCCCTCACCTTCTTGCGTCCCGGATGGCCAAGCGAGGGAATGGAATATGGAGGTGTTTTCCTTCGATGCCACTACTTTGGAGGATACATGTATCTCGCTGGGAAGGATGTTCAATCTTGAACATGTGGAGGGACAGGTTCTGGTCGAGGAGGTTTTAAGTAGTAAAGCAAAGGAGATGCACAAGCGTAAGCTTCGCCCTGTTCGAACCAAACTGGAAATGGAAAAATTCCGCCTAGGGCCTTCTTCCTCATTGGTGACCGGGTCGCGCAGGCATAAGTCAAGGGATGCTGGAGGTAATCTCAATTTCGTTATTGATGGATAAGTCTGCTTTCGTGCGGAATGTTAGAGGTATCAGGGATCGGGTTAAGAGGGGCAGAATTAAGCGACTTATTGACAGAAGAAAGCCTAAGATTGTGGGGTTGGTGGAGACTAAGTGGGATCATTTCAGTGATGAGCTCGTGGCTGATGTTAGCGGCAGCAAGGATATTGGTTGGGTTGCTAAGGACACTATGGATAGTGCGGGAGGAATTTTCGTATTCTGGAAAAAGGATTTCGTTCGTGCCATTAATAATTAAGTCGGAAATTACTTTGTGTGGATTGAGATTCATTATTTGTGCCAAGGCTGAGTTAGTCCGCTCTGTTAAGCTAGAGACTTTAACCTTGTTAGGTGTCATGATGATTATGTTGGGACAAAAAGATGTGAAGTGTTGATGGAAGCGTTTAACGAATGCATCGATAATAATGCATTGCTTGAGTTGCCACTTGGGGGAAGCAGTTATACGTGGAGTAGAGGTGAAGGCTCTCGCTCCTTATCTCGCATCGATAGGGCGTTTATTTCTCCTGGCTTCGACAATCTGTTCTAGGAATGCACTCTATCTGCTCTTGAACGGGTGGAGTCTGACCATTGCCTGCTTTTTATCAAGTGGGGAAGCTGTTCGAGGATTAAGAGAACTTGGAGATTCGAGAACATGTGGTTGGAGGATGAACGCTTCTTTCAGGGTCTTTCTAAGTGGATTCAGATTCCTTTAGAAAGGCGTGGGGCTGTGTTTCTTTGGGGAGGAACACTCCAGATTTTGGAACTAAAGTTGAAGGATTGGAATAAAAGTGTGTTCGGCAACATCGAAGCTCAAATTGATGATCTTTTGTGGAAAATCAAAACTTTTCAGGTTAAGGAGGAGTCTCTCTTGCTCGAGAGCAGCGATGAAATTGATAGACAGAGATGTAAGGTTGAGCTTAGCAGATTACTCTTTCTCCAAGAAATCGCTAGGAGGCAGAAATCCAAGGAGTTATTGAACAAGTGTGGGGGTAATAACACTCGTTATTTCCAGAAAGTTGCTAATTACAGAAGAAAGTTGAACTCGATTGATTGCATTAAGATCAATGGTGAAAGGATAGAAGGGAAAGATCTGCTCGCTGATGGTATTGTTGGTTATTACAAAGCTTGTTCAAGGAATCTATGTCAAGGAGGCCGTTTCCGGGCAAGTATGTGGGATGGTCCATCGGTGATGATGACAAGGCTAGTCTTGTGCAGAATTTCTCAGAACAAGAGATATGGGTGGCTATCATTGATTGCGACGGCTCGAAGGCTCCAGGACCCGATGGTTTCTCGATGGCTTTCTACAAGAAGTGTTGGTCGTGGATCATAAGGGAAGTTCTAAACGTCTTCAACGAGTTTCATCACAATAGTCACCTGCACAAGGGCGCTACCCATTCCTTTTTATGCCTGCTGCCGAAGAAAGACGTGGTTGAAGAAATTAAGGATCTCAGACCTATAAGTCTTTTGGGAAGCACGAATAAGTTAATTCATAAAATCTTAGCCGAAAGACTGGGTAACGTTCTTGGCAATATTGTCTCGGTTAATCAGCACGCCGCAGTGAAAGGTAGACAAATTGTGGAGGCAGGTTTAATTGCTTTTGAGCTTCTTGATCGCCGTATTAAAAGCAGAAAACCTGGGTTGATGTTTAAGTTGGATATCGAGAAAGCTTTCGATAACGTGAATTGAGGATGCCTCTTCAATGTTTTGTCTGTTTTGGGGTTTCCTCAAAAATGGCAAGACTAGATTCGGGCATCAGTTTGTTCGTCGTCCATCTCTACTATTATTAACGGTGAAGCTAAAGGCTTCTTCCCTACGGAAAAGGGGCTTCGACAAGACGATCCATTATCCCCAGGTTTATTTGTTCTCGTTATGGACGTGTTGTCTTTCTTGCTATCCAAGTTGCGCGAAGAAGGAAAAATCAAGGGATTCTGTATGGATGAGTTAAATGGGGAAGGGGAGGTGACGCATCTGTTATTTGCGGATGATACGCTGATTTTTTGCGAGGCATCCTATGAGCAAGTTCTAAACATTATGGCCACTTTGCTGTGTTTCCAGGCGGTTTCGGGTCTGCAGATCAATCTGGAGAAATTAACTATGTTCGTTGTAGGTGACGTTCCCAACCCGGACTTCTACGCAAGCATTTTTGGTTGTAAGTGGAGCACGGAACCTTCGAGGTATTTGGGTTTTCCCCTTGGTGCGAAGGTGAATACCGCTTCTACTTGGGACGCTATAATTAGTAAATATGAGAAGAGACTTGAAGGGTGGAAGGCTAAGCACCTCTCGTTAGGGGGGAGATTGGTTTTAAACAATTCGGTTCTTAATGGTCAGCCCATCTATTATTTTTTTCTCTGCTTCGTGCTCCTTGTTTCGTGGTCAACAAGATTGAAAGAATCCAAAGACAGTTCATTTGGTGCAAAACGGATGACAGGAAGAGGAGCTCTTTGGTTAGATGGGATCTTTGTAAGGCGAGTAAGGCTAATGGTGGGCTGGGAGTTTGGAATCTAAATGGTGCAACAGAGCCATGCTTTGTAAATGGTTGTGGAGGTTTGGGATTGAGAAAGGCAAATGGTAGAGAGAGCTGATTTCGGTTAAGTTTCCTTCTCCATCCTCGGATTGGGAAAGCAAGAGATGCTCAAGTGGGTTTGGCATGTCTGCTTGGGCAAATATCACTAAGGAATATGATACCTTTTGGAGGATTGCTCGTTTTGACCCTGGTGGTAGGGCATGGGTGTCTTTCTGGATGACTGTTGGGTTTCGAACTTTGCTCTTGCCAATACCTTTCCTCGAGTAGCCACTGCAGCCTCAGACCGGCGCGCCTGGATCTCTGATATTGCAGATCATCAAGGTGAGAAATTAACTTGGAACATTGCTTTAAATTTTCGGGTGGGGGGGGGAGAGAGAAAGATTGGATTTGTTGAATTTACTTAATTCAATTGATCCCCTTAAGGTAGTTTATGGTCCTAGCAGACTTGTTTAGACCCCAAACCCCGAAAACTCCTTTTCTGTTTCTTCAATGTACAGGTACCTGTCGAAGATCAATGCGTTTTTGTGGACTGTCATGCACAAAAGAATCCTCACTCTCGATAATCTTTAGAAAAGAGGGTTGGCCTTGGCGAATAGATGTTTTTTTTTGCTTCAAAGAGTCGGAATCCATAGATCATTTGCTGGTTAGCTACGAGTACACTAAAAGCATTTTGGAATGAGCTGAAAGAGAAGTGAAATATCGAGATGGATCCTTGCGGAGATATCGTCAACATTATTCGCAACTGGAAGGCGGAGCATCCCTCTGATCCGCACGAATGGCTAAATTATTGTGCCCTTCACTCGATCTGCTGGCAGGTATGGCTCGAGAGGAATCATCGACTTTTCGATGATCAAGCTATCCCTGCGTCCTCGGTACTCAAGAAGGCGATGTATTCAATGGTCGATTGGCTTGTGGCACATGGGAAGATCAGTAGACCCCAAGGGCTGTGGTTGTGGCTTGGTCGGATTCAGTGACAGGCTTCGTGCTGGGTCCAGTTTTCTTGGATGTTTCTAACTGGCTCTGCTCTAGCGGAGTCGTACTATTTTAGTCGATTGCGTCGGCTATGGCCGAGGGCTGTTGCTTGTTCGCTCTGCTGCTCTGCTGCTCTTCCGTTCTGTTGTTCTTTCTTTTTCAGTCCTGTTCTATTGTTCTTTCTTTTTCATTCTTGTTCTTTCGTTTTCGTTCTGAGTGAGCAGGGGCTTTATGGTTTGCCTAGCTCCTCTTGGTGCTCGCACTTCTCGTGCCAGCCTTTTCTTCTGTAGTTGTTGTTTTTTTTGGCTGTTTGTTTGGATCTTCTTTTGGTTCTTTCATTTTAATTAAATTATCACCCTTATAAAAAATCGAGGTTCTGTGCGAAATAGTTCCTCTAAAATTCACTCATGTCGTGCTTGGCAAGCCTTGGCACGATGCTCGCAATGCTCGATGGAGCAGAAGAAGCGACTGACGATTAAGCCACGTTGCTGAAACAAGTACGTGACGAGGAGGAACTGCTGTTGGCGATCAAGCTCGTTGAGGAAGAGTTTTCCGATGGAGTTGCACGCCTCTATTTTCCGTCAACAAAGCAGAGTATGAGAGAGGAAGAGTTGGATGGCAATCTGGGAAGCGAGTCGATCACAGCTCAACAGCCCAACACCTTCCCTACAGCAGCAAGAATCTCTTCCCTTTGTTAGGAGGGCTCGTTTGCACCTGAATTGCAAAATCCTAATCAAGTTCAAACACATCTACATGTGTTCGAAGATGAAGAAAAATTGTAAGGTCTGGTCGGAGCACTAGGGGCCGAGCCGACCTCAACTAGCGCTGCCAAAACATTCCAAATGACCCCTGGAATCGTTACCATATGATTACTCGCCTCGAGTACGCCTAGATTGCAAGATGAAAATCAAGTTTCACTACCTCTGGAAACGCACGAACAAGTAGACGAAATAGCTCAATGGGTTGGGGAGATCGGGCACATTCCGACACCAAGGAATGTTGTGGAATCGTCAGGGATTGACCTAGGAAGCTGTAGGACTCCTCGACTCGACCCAACAAAGCTTGAGCCAAAATCACCCAAATCGGAATTGAAAATTCCGGGCGTTGCAGGCTTGAATATCGACAAGGGCGGGAACAAACAAATCCTTGATTCGACGAAGCAAATGATGAATCGAGAGACGGGCTAGATCCAGAAAGTCAATTCGAAGTATGGCAAAGATGATGGTAATCATGAATTGAGGTGGGAATGCCTCAATCGAACTTCCCAATTTTATGGATCAAGAACACTCGAATGCTTTTCCAGAAAGGTCTGTTTGAGCAGCCCTCTTTCGATCCAATTTGGGATCAATTCTGTGAACGGTTTGTGCAACGAAAGTCCAAAGTGTTGAGAGCAACACTTTTATCAATAGGGGAGGCCTTATATGATCCCAAATTTCGAATTATACATGTTTAATTTACTTGACGAACAAGCTATAGAAGTTGGGAAGAAAAAGGGCAGAATTTGGCCAAG